GCCCCCCCCCCCAGGTACGATTTAGAAATCTAAATCGATCAATCAAATAATATAAAAAAACAATCAGCCTTCAAGGACGATCAGTTGACAGAACAGTATATCATTTTAAAAATAAGGTAATAGCAAAATAACCGACCAACAGTAAACTAACAGACAAACCAATCAATAAGCTGACAAACTAACCAACCAAGAAACCATTCATTTGCCTAACCAATTAAACAATAAAGCAACCAACCAACAAACCAATCAAACATAAAAATTTACCTACCAGCCAACCCACCCATCCACCACCAACCAACCAATACCATTGCAACTAACCTTAAAGACCGGAAATGTGAATGGTCTGGCCATATCTTTAACCTTCTCCATTACTTCAAAATTAGATATTTTTGACCCACTTTTCTTAAGCCACCACCTCCCTGTATAATTGAAATCGTTGATTTTCAAGAGGTAATTGGGCCCCACAAGTGCTAAGCTCCCCCCTTGACAGGAGAAAAAAATGTTAGTAACCCCTCTGGACACTTGTCTGAATGCACCCATGTACCTTGCTATAGGTTTAAGGTATAAACTCTGTGGTCTAAACAGATCCACACAATCCTTGGTATCTCCGCAGCTCTGAATAATCGACATATTCTCTGAAATATGAATTAAGTTAATGGGAGAGATATGTTCCTGGGACCAGAGGAATTGACAAAAAATATTTTTATTCATGCTTTAGCGATCGATATTAAGGGTATCTAATTTTTAAGTTTTCAGCTCATTATATTAAAACCTCCACACTATTTTCTAGGTTTTTGATTATATCATAGAATAAATCGTTTAGCCCAGAGTAGAGTGGTAGCAATAGAGATACCAAACCAAGTCAGCATATACTGGATATGATCATTCCTGAAAAAAAAATTTAATAATAATTTTTTTCAAAAATTAAAAGTTTGAAATATTAATCCCCGCAGAAAGCACTAATTCGTTTTTTGGCCCAACGGATTTAATTTATTTCGCCTGAATCCCGCAGGTTGATTGCAAAATCCAAAATAAAGCGTTGGAGAGGAAGACTCCCAAAATTTAGGAGGAATATTTCCCCCATATCATTAAAAGACAAATACATATTTGCTTTAGTTAATTGGTATATTGTTTACTTTCTTCGACGAGTAATTCACAGCTTAATAGGAATAATAATTGTAGATTTTATACAAATAGTAAAAAATTGGGATTGAAAAATGTCTAAAGAAATAGGTTTAAGGTTTAGAGGATTTTAAAGCATTTTTGATAACTTTTATGTTTAATTTTTTTTCAATCATTTTAGTTCTTTACAAAATTGTGTCTTCGATATTTTTGCCTATAAAACTCATTATCAGATGGACATTTTCAGCGTCAGTATTCATAATATAAAACTATTAATTTTGTTATTCAACAAAACCAAAAATATTTCCGTTTTTAAAGTTCAATGATAAAATCTTAATAAATGTTTCCAGCTTCAAGAACCCCTTACTGGATGTAGGGGGAGGGAAGAATGAGTGTTGAATTAAAAATATGCCACTCAGATCAAAAATAAAAAGATAAATAAATGACACTTTGGAAACCTAATTTTCAACGATTTTTAAATAATATCTTTGAAACTTATGTTTTTCTCTCTGATGTATTGAGTTTAAATTATCTATTTATGTAATTGTAATTGGTATTATTAAGGGCGAAAAAGTTCTTGCCGGGATTTTTATTTTATTTATATTTATATATATATTCAAGAGTCTAACTAAAGTTTTAATTGAATGTATCACTCAAGCCTAAAAGTTATATATTCTCAAGCCTAAAAAGCTTTTTTATAACGTCTAGATTTATACTTTAAAAGAAGCCTATAACTAAAATCATATTTGATGGTCTATATATTTTAGACCATAATGGGCTAGGATAACTGCGTTATCCTGTCTTAGTACTCCAGGTTGTGCAATACTAGGTTTATAAAACATCTTATTTAAATGTAAATGTGAACACTGCCTAAACCTTTCGAATTTAAGCTTTTTAAAACTTATGGATGTTATTTAAAGTGAATCCAGGTCATTCTCGTATTTCAATGCCTGACCTGAACTATGAACTAATGAATTAACAGGTGATAATAAGTTCTTAAATAACTTAGAACTTTTGAAGCTTATCCGAGAATAATTACTCCCTTATCTCGTAGACCAAGTCCTCCTCTGATCTACCCACGCCGTACTCCTGGACGAGGATGACCTCTTCAGTCTAAGGAGAGTTTGAAAGAGCAGATTCAGCTGCACAAGCTGCAGACTGCATGTTTGCAGCTGGAAGCACGATGAACATGTCGAGCTGAACCAAACTGCCTGCAGAGTATCTCCCTGCTGGGCATCATTGTCTTCACCTCCTACATGGAGAAGTCCCGTCAAAAGGGTCTTCCTCGCTTCTTTAAACCGGGACTGCTGCTATTAAGCAGATAAAGGTGAATATTAAATATGAAGCTGCTCTCAAGATTGAAATCTGATGTTTAACTCAACCTTATTCGGATCCAATCATCATCTTCACTACCTCCCCATTGGAGAAGTCCCGTCAGAAGCATCTCCTCTGCTTCTCTAAACCGGGACTGCTGGTATTAAGCAAATAAAGGTATATAATCAAGTTTCGTGTGATCTTTACTTACTTGTTACTTGTAGAGTAATCCTCAGGGCTCCTTTAGGAACATAGGTGAGGATGCCAGAAGGTCGTCACGGAGTAATGATCTGTCATCCATGTCCTGCTACATAGTGCTCTCCACACTTAAATACTCCTTGCACAGATAGATTTTACGTACATTTTTAAGTTGTCCAATGTCGATTGAGTCCAGCTGGGTCCTAAATATGTTTAGAGTCCTAGCCTCTTTTATTTCTACCGGAAGTTTTTTCCATTTTGAAACAACACAATTAGAAAAGAAGTTATGCCTGACATCAGTTCTTGATCTTTTTGGTACCAGATTGTCTTGATATGCTGTATGACGAGTTAACCTGGTAGCATCTACTCCAACCTTGCTGAACCAGTCAAGTTTGGTTTGTCTGTCCTTCAGTGACAATAAACCTAGTTCATTAAGCTTCTCCTCATAAGTCCTGCCACTTAAACCAGTGATCAGGTTGACTGCCCTGCGCTGTATTTTCTCTAGTATTTCAATATCCTGCCCAGTCCAGGGTGACCATGCTGGGACTGCAAACTCTAAGTGACAGCGGACAAATTGAGTATACAACCTCAAAAAAGTGGTTTTAGGGTGACCATGCTGGGACTGCAAACTCTAAGTGACAGCGGACAAATTGAGTATACAACCTCAAAAAAGTGGTTTTATCCCGATACAAAAATGTCCGTGTAATTTGTCCTAGAACAGTAGATGCCCTCCTCGAGGCCTCTGCACATTGCAAAGAGGGCTTCAGATCTTGGTTTACTAACACACCAATGTCTCTTTCTTTATTTACCGTCTGTAGTACCAATCCTGCCATATAGTATTCACAGTCTGGGTTGTTCCTACCAACATGCATGACTTTACATTTTTTAACGTTAAACTCCATACACCAGTCTTCTGCCCAAATTAATAGATTGTCTAAGCACCTCTGAAGTGTTTCCCTATCCGGGTCAGACTCTATCTTATGCCCTAGTTTGGTTTCGTCGGCGAACTTATTTGCAATTGTGAATTGCTTTAAACAATCGTCTAGGTCGTTTATAAAAATGACAAAGGCCAGGGGGCCAAGAACTGACCCTTGTGGAACTCCAGACTCAACCTTGGACCATTCTGAGTAAGACCCGTTTAGAACTACACGTTGTTGACGGTCGGTCAACCAGTTTGTGAACAATTAAAGACGAAAATGTGACTATCTCCTCTAACACATGATAAGCCTTCATATAAACTCATCTTATTTTTTCTAGTTATGTATAGGAGACAGCTGGTAACGATCATCCAACTTTAGAGCTATTAAATTCTCCAGCCAAATAAACTTTGTAATTGTTACCTTAATTCATATATATTTGATGCAATTTATTCACATTTAGCACATTGTAAGTGTTATCTCAATTCATAATTGTTGTTACAACTTAATCACACTTAGCACACCTGGAGCAAATTTTAATGTAAACTTGGCTAATTTTATTCATTTAAATCTTTTTTATACTAATTCAATATTTTTTTAACCCGTGACTGATGTATTGTTTTTCAGTTCACGGGTCTCTGCTCTGTAACGATATACCTGAAATACAGAATATAAGAAACTCAAGTGTATTAAAGAGGTGCGCATGGAGAAGTGATGTTGCCCCATCATGTTAATAGCCAAATACCTGTGGATCTAGGTATCCTATTTAGGGAAAATGCTAAAATTCCCGAAACTGGCACAACCAAGCTTATATTTGCTTAATTCACTTCTAAAAGAGAAAAAATGTCCTAGTTTAAGAATGGATTATTGAGAACAAGATAATGGTGGTGGAACTGCCGTTGCTAAGTTTCAAACTAACAATAATTCCTATTTCGAGGTCAACAGAACCCCACCTGATGATAAAAGGCGAGCAAAGAAAGCTGCTCTGATGGTGGCTAGAAGCCGAGCCCCACTGAGAAGTGTTAAACTCTTGGGTTCTAAGAATTCGCAGAAATTGGTGAAAGAACGGCCAACATTTCCTGCATCTAAGCTTAATACAGCCCCGAAAATCAATATTCCGCCAAACTGTGGTTCGGAAGTCTGTGTCTCCTCCAAAGTGGATGTTTGGGGGAGAGATCGGAGGTTCTCATGAGATCCTTGAGTCTTACTCCGATTCAACCAACTTGAGACGAGAAACATTTGTTAGAGAGAGACCTGCACCTGCCATGAATGATGTGCTAGAGAGTACACTGATTAATCCAGGAAAAACACAGAAATTCACCAGAGCGCAGGAGGATCTGGAGGTGATGGGTCCTCCTTTTATAATTCCCCTAGAACGGAGACAAACCTTTGTTCCGGAGAACGAAGAGAACTCGGCCCCTGTTTTACGAAGAGAAACTTTCAAGCCTGAAGATCTAGAGAACAGGTTTGGAATGCCGCTAAGATGAGAAACGTATGTGTTTACTCAAACTGAATCATGGACGTCACAGAAACTTCATACAAATCCTCAGAGTAAGAAATGGGAAGCTCAACCTATAGGGAATCTCTCTGGACTGCAGATGTTAGATGAGAGTGCAGAGGAAAGTGTATTTTCAAGAACCAACACAGTCTGTGAGGAGACGAGGAATGATAGTTTGATTGATATGAACAAGTATTGTTTAAGTCCCCCTGGCAAGGAGGACAAGGAGGAGGATGAGACGGATCATGCTCCAAAGAAGATCCAACCTGCATCAATACCATGTATAGTTCTCATCAAACCTGACAAACCCTTGAACCAGAGTGTTAAAAAGGTTCCGCAGATATATCAGCCGGACGTATCTGACATTAGCCTCGCAGATTTCAGTCTTAATATCACGGAGAATGAGATGAGTATGGCCGTGAACATGTCGGAATTCTGTCCAGAGAGGTTAGGTGAGCTGGACCCGGAGCTAGAGGATAGAGAACTAGAGGCTGAAATAGATCAACTTGCAGAAGCTAGGGCAGCCTCCGGTTGCTGGGATGAAATTAAAGATCATGAACAATCTCCAGCGCAAGTAGTAGGGTGCAGGTTGAGCTCTGGTACCATGATAAAGGTTGCTCTGTCCCTGCATGCTTCCTTCCTACCGGATATAACGAATATAGAGTTATCCCTGGCTATCCCAGAGTTGGATGTTATGGAAACCTCGATAACTCATCATGAGGAGAGGATGATTACTGAGAAGGAGTATATACGTGAGATTATTGAGGAGGTTATTGAGTACAAGTATGAGGTTGTGGATAACCAGAGGGTTTGTGTTGGAGAACAAAACCTGGGACAGACGGTTACAGTACAAGAGGAAGAGAGGTTTGTAAATACTCCAACAAAGGAGACCCAAACAACCAAGATAAAAACGGTGATGACCACAGAGAAACTTGACAAGCCTTGCGATATATCCAGGCTTATTGAGAACTGTCTCTGTGCTGCTAGTCCTAAGAGTATACCCCTGGGTGTTCACCTGACTGAATCTGAGTTGATCGGTATGCTGGGCATACTGGCTCTATCCAAGACTTTGGAGAACCCGGAGCCAGTCCAACCCAACNATATCCCCGGTATCATATTCCAAGATGGATTTATTATTAAGAATTACACAGGATTACCTGGTTTGAAAGGATCTCCTCAGATCAGTAACCAGCAGTATCCGTCCTCTCAGAGTTTTCTACAGAAAACTATTCATGAGACCAGTTTCCTTCCACCCAGTCCTGATGATCTTCGTCATTGCTCAACAGGGGTCAAGAAAAATGAAAGTTTAAAAAGCTTTGAGGTATCCTGCGACATTAAGAAGTCCCTGTTTAATGATAAAACCGAGGAAAAAGAGGAGAAACTAGGTGAAGGAGATAAATTCGAACCTGTTCCTCTTTCTTCAGGTGGACACGAGTTGCCTGTAATTCCGGATCATGAGCCTGGTTCTCCAAACTCAAGGCTTAGCTCTGAAACCTATATTGCTTCTTAGGACTCTAAACCCCTCTCCATCATTCAAGAGTTGGACGAGAACACTGTAACAACTTGAGAAACTAACTCAACTTTTATGGCGAAGGAGGAATCTCTTGTCAGTTTAAACAAACAGGAGGAGATATCAAAACCAAACCCTTCTCCTCAACCTAGAATTGAGAAACTGATGACCATAAGTTCAAGAACTCCGATCAGAAGACGTCAGAGCAAAGTGGAGTATATCAAGAAACCTATTGAGCAAATTGCAACGGAGAAACGGGAGAAATTAATGCAAGCCTGTAGTTCCGGGTTCATGTTGGTCTCAATAAATAGAAGCCTTGAACAAGTTCACTCTGAAGCAGTTCCTGGAGCTGGTTTTCTTCCTTGACGTGGCCAAGGAGAATAAGTTGATACAACACAATCCTTGCCTGTTCTGTCTTGACAGCAAGATTAAATCTTCCCGAGAAATCCTTCTATCCTTCTCCAGGGATTATCTATCTGGAGAGGGAGATATTATCAAAGATCTTGCTTATCTCAAGTATCAAGCAACTCATAAACAAACTGCTCTAGATGAGTTTGATTATGCTGTGACAAATATCAGCACTGATCTTAGATGTGGACTCCGTCTTTCCAAGGTTGCAGAGTTTCTCACCGGAGCATCCATCTCAACCCAGCTTAGGGTACCCGCTGTATCTATGCTGCAGAAGGTTCACAACACCAAGGTTGCGTTGAAGGAGCTGAGACGGGCTACTACTAGTATCCCAACCAACATCATGTCCAAGGATATTGTTAATGGGCACAGAGAGAAAACCTTGACTCTTCTTTGGAGTATCATTTATGAAATGGTACCTAAATCTTTGCCTGGAAGCTAATCTTTCCCTATAAAAGTAAATCCTCTTCATCTTTTTACCAAACCAATATCGTTTCCGTGGTATTTTCAAGTTCCCCAATCAAAATTTGATGCAAATAGGTCAGGGGGCACCTGAGTTTTGATCCAACAAGCAAACAAACTAACAGTCAGACGAGCAGAGATTACTACTTTTTTTTATAGATTTAAATAACATATATAAATCTGAAAATAACGTAACTTTACAGGGTTTCTAACCTGAGAGATATCCTAGTTTGCCCAGCAACAGGACCTCCACTACTCTCAGCATACTGACCGGAGGCTGCATCAAGGTCAAGAAATACCTGGGTCATTTTGCGCATTGCGTACAGTTGCTTACCCAAATAAAATGTATATTAATAGTTAGAAACTCCTGCTATGAGACCCATAAAACCTGTGGACTAATAATAGCAGAAACACATTTAAACCATTTTTTGTGTAATGAATTTTTAATAGTAAAATTAACATACTATACAAAATTAGGCTGTGAAAACTTAATACTGTTGATATGTTATATGCTAATATGAGTGCTAATATGAGTCTAACAATTATTTTATTTCTCTCATGTTTTATCGATCTTGCTATACTAGGTTAAAACAAGTAGACCAGACTATACGGAACCAGATATTATCAGATAATATCAGCAATAAGACGGCAACAGTTTATAAAATTATTTTTCATAAAGGAATACCATCATTTGAACTACAGATCTTATTGAATATTTTGAACAAAAAGTTAAGTTTCATTACAGAAATGATGTTATTTTCTGTAGTCAAAATCAGAAAAATATTTATTTTTTTTATTTTCATTTAACCTAGTTGTTCTCATGATATATGATATGATTCACTTTAGCACTCTTTTTTTTTATCTTAAATCTTCTTTTAAACTAATGTTTACTTTAAATACTAAGCTCAAAAATACATACACAGTTTGCATCATCATGTGTTCAAAAATTAAGTAGTGCACATGACAGTAGTTCAATCAGCATAAGTCTAGGATACGCATTACGCAATGTTTCCTTCTCAGTATTAAGTTTTGTAGCTAGTGCACCAATATCTCTAGAAAACCAAGAGTTTCCTTCAACCTAAAAATGACAAATAAAAGGGACTAAAGATGTAATTTCAAGTGCCCCTCTTACTCTTTTTTTCTTTCATTTTTCTGGGTCACAATGAGGAAGTTTGTCGTTTCTTTTTCATAAAAGTTTGATTTCTTGCCATCATAAAAAGGCAAGAAAAACTAGCTAAATAAACTAGGATATCTCATTCTTTCATGATTAGAAAAAGAAAGGGAACTGTTAAGAAAGAGTAACTGCAGGGTTACTTGACATTACACATCGAGTGCTTTTACATATTTAGATTAATATTATATCATGTTTGTGAGGTTCCACGAGTATATTCCCAAGAAATTATATAAAAAATATTCTGGTAAAATCCGACTATTTCAAGTTGGAACAGTTAACATTATGAAAGGTTGCAAATAAGTTGTATGCTCTTGTTATGACTATTCTGTTTTTTATTTGTATAATGTTCCAATGCTAAAATGTTAAAAACCATTTTATAAGTAAAAATTGGTTCTTAATTTGAAATAATGCATGTGGTGTGATTATTTCCTTAGTTTAGTTTGTATGTTTACCAATTTGCTTGTTTTTTTCAAGTTGGTAGTTGGGCAGTATACTTTGAGACCCGACAGTTTGATGAAAATTTCCAATGTAAAGGTTCAAGCATTGTACATTTTTTTTTGGAAAAGTCAGAAAATGTTAAATAAACACAGGGGTTTCCACTCTTCTGTCTGGACTAGGGTTAGGATTTAATTGAAAATTCCTGAATTAAGGTATATCAATACTTCAAAAAACGAAAAAGGTGAGTATTTTACTATAAAAGAAAAAGGTTAGTGAGCATGTTGCTTTAATGTATAAAAAGGTAAGTGAGCATGTATTAATATAAAAGAAAAAGATGAGGAATGTTGTCAGTACAAAATAATTGAGTTAATATTGATCTATGTTGAAAAGATCAATATAAGAAGTGTGTAGGAATAAATATTCTTCAACTAGTGTAATAATTTCCATTCTTTAATGCTCGGAGCGTGTAAGAATATTCATTCTTTCATGCTCTGGCCATGTAATAATTTCCACTCTTACACGGTCTGAGCATTAAAGAATGAAAATTCTGCACCTACAGTGTAAGAATAAGCATTCTTAAACGCTAGGAAGCGAACAATATTATAATTGTTCCTCCTGAACCGTGTAATAATGGGATTTCTTACACAATAGGTTTACCAGGAACCGAACAGATATGATATAATAAAATAATTCTTAGTTTCATCTAAAGGAATTGTAAGAAATTTTCATACATTTTCTTTTACAATATGAATTAGTTAAAGGGTAAAAAACTAATCTTAACCAATTCCTCACATTGACTGAAGATTCTTTTTTAATAATATTTATTTTTCGACGCTTCGCGCTGTTAACGATTTCCTAAAATGTTAATATTGTAAAGGACCGTTAATGGCTGCGCTATTAACGATTTCTTTCACCGTTAACAAAATATTTTATATTAATATAACGTCAATACTGTTAAGGACTGTTAATGGCTTCGCCTTTAACGATTTCTTACACCATTAACGGTTGTTGAAAGTTTTCCGTTAACGCCATGACAAAAATTTAATACATTAACTAACCGTAATTAAAAAAACAGTAAATGCCGTTAACGATCATTCTTAACTTTATAATTAACGGCTACTTGAATTTGAACTAACCGAAAACGGTACGTCTAGAAAAAAATTGGAACGTGCCCAGCCCTAAGTCTGACTGGGTCTTGTGAATTACCACAAAAAATTGGCTTGGTGGCTTCAGCCGTTTTGATGTTTATCAGACACACGCAAAATAGACAGTCAAACATAAGGCCAAATAAAAGCATTAATAAAGTAGTGTTCATCAATACCTATTTATTAATATAGTTGGTCCATTCTCTACCACAAATGGAGTTATGACATGCCAACCAACCTAAAATGTTATTTTAGTAAAAAAAATTCTATAGTTTTGGGATTGAATTAATATGGAAAGAAGTGAGATATTTTTAAAGAAAATAAATCATGATAGCCATTATAATATGATTAATGATTATCATTGCCAAATCAAATGAGATCATAATTGAGTATATCATGTATTTATATAACAAAATAATTAAAAATCATTGGGAGTTTTACGGTCTATGTCTACAGGGT